TAAATAAATATATTATTGAAGTAGAAAAAGACTAATGAAATTTTGATTTTTTGAAGGCAAACCATTAGCTAATCCAAAAAAAGTGAAAAGGTTGACAAATAAAAACAACTAATGACACAGGAAACTTTTAAAATCATAAAAGATGGGGCTGGAGATTTAGCTCAGTGGTTCCACCACCTGCCTTGCAGGCAAAAGGTCCTGAGTTCGATCCCTGGTACCCACCCCCAATCATAAAAGATGAGTTTCCATATCTCCATGCAAATAAATTTAAAAACTCAGATAAAACAGATAATCTCTTAGGGAAACAGTGTGTCAAAATTCATCCCAATAGCAGTTGAAAAGTTACAACATACCAATTTCCATAGGTGAAAGACAAAGAACACAATCACCAACACAGAGCACATCCTGGTGGTAGTTGTTTGTTTTCTGGTACCAGGAATCGAACTCAGGACCTCAGGCTTGTCAGGCAGGTATTGTTCTGCTGAGCTAAATCCCTGGCCTTCTAGTGGTAGTAGTTTTAAAGGGAGCTTTACCAAACCTTTAGAAACCAGTCTCAATGCTAACGAATTGTGTGTCATGACATAGAAATTAAAGACTCCCTAATTTTTTTATGAAATCAAATAACATTAACTCAAAACTGATTGAGATAGCACACAAACAAAAACAAAATATTGACCAATACCATTTTTAACATTGACTTAAAAATCCTAAATAAAATACAGTATTAGCAATACCATACAGTATCTGCAATACCGTATTAAAGATGATCTACCATGATCAAATGGGATTCACACTAAGACTACAAGGATGACTCAATATCAGGAAATGCATTAATGTATCTACTGTGTTAATAAGCATACGGAGAAAAATAATATGATTATTTTTACATGCTGAAAAAGCCTTTGACATATTCAAATAAAATCCATTTGGTCTTGTGATGTCCTGAACAAAGTACCTTACCACACAGTTCCAGATTTTAACCCACACAACTGTAAGCTAGTAATGGGTGTTCTTTCTTTTTTTTTCTGGGACCAGGAATCCAACTCAGGATCTTGCCTTTGCAAAGCAGGCATGGTGACACTGAGCTAAATCCCCAGCCCCGGGTGTTAAGTCACTGAATTCATAGTTAATTTCATACAGCTGTAGAAAACTAACACACACATTTACCTTTTGACCCCAAAATCTCACTTCTATGAATTCACCTTGAAGATACATCTCTAACAATACTAAAACAAATATGCTCCAAAGTGAAGCACTATGCAGCTGTAAGAAAGAATGAGGAAGAAATTTGTGAGTTGAAATGGAGTAATAATCTAGTAGATATATATGTAAATATTTATATAAGGAGAAATTGTTTAAAAAATAGAAGTGTGCTTATTTTAAAAACTTTAAAACCCCAAAGGATAAACTAGAAAATAATAATTTAACTAAAACAAGCCAGTAGAACAAGATAAAGAGAAAGAGGAAGAAGTGACATTTTCCTCCTTTTTAAAATCAGTACATGTTTGTGATACGTAATAAATACATTCATGGTGGAGAACTGGTACACATACATATCAATCATGATGCTTTTTACTTCCCCTTTCCCTCCCCTCTCCCCTCTCCCCGATCCCCAGAACTTTTGAGTACAATCTCTTGGCATTTGCAGGAGACTGGTTCCAGGAACGCACAGCAGATCCAGAGAAGCTCAAATTGCCTTATTTAAAATGGAATCGGATTTGCAAATAACCTATGCACATCCTCTCATATACTTTAAATCATGTCTAGAATGACATTGCCATCATTCACATTTCTTTAATACACGTAAATGTTATATAAACAGTTGTTATACTCATTGTTAGGAAATAATGACAAGAAAGATGTACATGTTCAGTCGTGTACAATTTTTATTTTCTGATTAAAACTTAAATCTGAAAATGGTTGAATCTACAGATATGGAAGACTGATTGTACATATTTCTTAAAAGTTTTGAGTTTGAAAAACATGTTGATGTTTCACATATTCAAAATAATAAATCAAATATGGGAAGCCTAAAACTGAATGTATGCAGAAACAAAAAACCTCAATGTGTATATTAAATGACTAAGGCAACCACTCTGAGGTGAGGGTTGAAGGATAACCAGTGCAAATAACTTTTTTTATGTATCCTCAGTCTAAGAGAAAAGAAGAGCTGCAAACCAATCTGGAAGTTTCTAGTAGATTTATTTTTGTAGTAATGTGAATACGGCAGTTCTGAAATTATTTTATATTGTATAGGACAGAAAAGGTAAATGAATGCTGTCGAACAAGCTTCTTATAGTGGAAATATGACAACTGATAAATCTGGGCAAGGATAGTATACAGCAATTTTCAGTATTTTTGTAATTTTTCTATAAATAATTTTTTAAACTTTTAAATGTAAGGAGGAAAAAAGCTGGTTTAATTTTACTTGCATTTCCTTTACTGTATCCATGAATTTGACATAAAATTACTTGATTAAATATCCAAATTCCAGTACCAGGGATTTAGCTCAGTGGTTCTGCCACCTATCTTGCAAGTGCAAGGCCTGTCTCACAAGTGCAAGGTCCCAAGTTTGATCCCCGGTACTAGAAAAAAAAAAAAAATCCAAATTCCATTTTTCCAACTTTGCCACACCACCTAAGAGAGAATGTCAATTTTTGTTTACTATCTTCTCAGCTTATTATCCATTAAGTTGCTTAGTCTTTTTCCCCCCTGAAGTCATCAACTGCTTTGTTTATCCTTCTCTAATAAGCTATGATATCTTTTTGGCACACTTCATTGAGAAAAGTAATAAGAACATAAGCTTTCTGTTCTCACAGATCTAACCCAAACTCTGAGTAGAGTGAATGTTTAAGGCCTGATAATTGATAACAGAATGTTATACAGATCATAACTGAGAAAAATTACACAAAAACATCTATGTTAGGTGGCTAGAAAGAAAACCTACCTTCTATTTCTTGTCCAATAGAAAGTCCAGCCCATTTTCGCTATAAAATAAAGGAGAAAGACATTTAAATGAAAACAACTAAAATTAGAAAAATAAGGAAAAAAGGAAATTCTATGAATTGTAGGAACACATTCAAAGACTAAAACATTTTGTGTTGAGTTGTCCCCACCCCCAGAAAATATGTTTAAGTATTAGCCCCCAGTACTTCTGAACACAAATTTTAGAAATAGGGTCTTTGCAGACACAATTACATTAAGATTAGGTCATACTGAATTAAGGTGGTCCCTAAGCCAATAAAACTGGTGTCCTTATGAGAAAAAGACACACAGACACAAGGAGAATGTGGTAACAGTAGCAGAGATTGAAGCATTACATCTACAAGCCAAGGAACCCCAAGGATTACCACCAACACCACAAGCCAAACATGGCAGAGATTATTCCCTCCATGCTTTAGAGAGAGCATACCTGTGCTAACACTTTGATTTCATAATTCTAGCATCTAGAACTACAAAAAAATAAAGTTCTGGTCTCTGCTTGTGATTTTTGTTTATGCGAAAACTTTATTCTTTTCTAAACTGAACTTTTTCTGCTGCTGTTGCTTAAATTTTTCATTGTTTAAATTTCTGGTTCTTTCTTACAGCAGCCCTAGGAACTAATGCAGAGGGCACAGTTTACAAATGAATGCAGGGCCATGAATTTAGCTCAGTGGTTCTGCCAGCTGCTTCACAAGCACAAGGTCCCAAGTTCGAACCTCAGTACAAAAAAAAAAAAAAAAACCCCAAAACAAAAAAAAGTTAAACCTTGTAACTGAAAGTCTGTTCCAAAATATAGAACATAGCTTGCCTTTTTTTTTTCTTTAGTAAAACTGGCCCATTGAGTAGGAGGCTGCATTGTATAATATACTGTTCCTCAAATTTTCACTGTATCAAATATTTCTAAGGGTATAGCTGCAGTTAGTTTTACTGTTTCATTATAGTGTTACAAAAAGAAATTTGGCCAGGTATGGTAGTGCATGCCTGTTATCCTAATATTCTGGAGATTGAGTCAAAAGGATTGCCACAAATTCAAAGCCAGCCTGGGCTACACAGTGAGTTTAAGGCCAGCTTGAAATACATAGCAAGATTCTGTCTCAAAAAAAATTTTTAATTCATGAAAATTAAAACTGGTAGATAAACTATATTGAAACCAAAGCAAGGACACAAATCTACTTATGTGTACTGACCAAAGGATTTTCAGCCATTAAGAGACAGAATGTGGCCTCTCTGTTTACAGTGGCAGAAATGTACAGAAGTAGAACAAATTGGGTTGGTTTCATATAAATTCAAAATAGTAATTACTTCTAATACTCTAAAGAACAGTGATAAAAATAATTTAGAGCTGGAGATCCATAGTTGGTCTACTGTACTGAACATTCTAGATTTTGTGGTGGATAATTCATAAGATGCCACATCATGATTATAAACAATAGCAAGTGCTCCCTTCTAGCCTTTTTTTTTTCTTTTTTTGGGGTATTGGGAATCAAACTCAGGACCTTGCACTTGCAAGGCAGGTGTGGTGCCACTGAGCTAAATCCCCAACCTTGCTCACTTCTAGCTTTTGTACCATAGGTCACATGCCCTCCTCTCTATCTTCACCTCCCTTGAGACTTTCATAAATTTCCACTCAAAATCTGACCAACCTGGTAATTAGTGGCATGCTAGTTAAACCCAGAGTTTGGGTTATAAAGTTGTCACATTTAGGCTCCATACTTTAATCCCAAAGACAGCCTTAAGGGATGACAATAATAGTACCTATTTATGCCGTTATTTTGAAAACAAAATGAGCTAAAAACATTCAAAGGCACTTAGAATAGTCCCTGAGTTAGAGTAAACCTTAGGAGAAATTATTTTTAGAATAGTCTCTGAGCTAGAGTAAACCTTAGGAGAAATTATTTTTTACAAAACAGAGAGACAAAGAGAAATAGCTACCTCAAGCTACTTTTGACCATAAACATTCCAAATGAACCTTTGAAAAAGCTTGCAAACCCTGGAATACCTCAAGTTGTTAATTTATTCAAACAAATGTTAAAAGTAATCCTAATAAGAGAGAGGCATCCAAGCAGAGAAAAGGGGAATAGTGAACAGAGATTTCCTACTTTTTTTTTTAAAGGGCTTCAGAAGAGTGTTAATAGTTCCCATATAAGTGTTTGATATCCTTCCCTAAACTGCCAAGAAAATAAATCAAAATTTTCCAGCATAGAAAGAGGCAGGGGTTGCATTTACATTGTGTAGGATTGTGGAATCTTTAGCCTGAGTAAGACAGTAAGGGGGAAAACAATACAAACTAGTATTTGTGGCACTCCTACATTATGAACCTTGTACCTCAGACAGTGCTAAGCAATCTGCTTCTGCGGATTCTAAAGATTCTTCCAACAATTCTAACTGCAGTCAAACCCTTCCTGTTGTTAGAAGAGCCGAGCAAGTTAGGTTGTAGTTTAAGATAACTACTTTTCATACTTTAGTCTGACATTACATCATAAAACAAACATCTACTAGTAGATGTCAATTTTATAAAGTATCATTTTTACATCTTTTCTGTTACTTGGGGGGCTAGCATTAAAATGATGCCACTTTATTGGATAGCTGACACTACTGTAAAATTTTTAAAAAACTGAAAAAAATCAAGGCAGTAAAAGACAGCCATAGTAAAAATTGACAATTAAGAATTTATTTTTAAATCCCTTATATATCTAGACGTTTTTCTTCAATATAAATCAATATAGTTAATGGAATTAATATGAGAAAATAAAAAATAATGGAAACAGAATCTTTGTAGATAGGGAGGGAAAGGTTAAAGGGAGGGCAGGGGAATAGGGAAAAAATAAGAACCAAGATTGATTATGTAAAAGTACAAATTTTCAAAAATGAATATCATTATATTGTATACATTTAATGTAGCAATAAAATTAATTTTAAAAATATATATCCTTACAGGATAATGTTTGCTTAAAATGAATAGACTTCTCTACATTTGCAAGGATGGAAAAGAATAAATTGATACGAGTTACCTGAGGTAAGCTAAATGCAATGCTCCCTGGAACCACTGACGGATGGGTCTTCAGAGTAAATATGTACCTGTGATTGGGAGAGGTCCTCACAACCACATGCCTAAAAGACAGAAAGAGGGCAGGGGATTTAGCTCAGTGGTTATTCCACCTACCACTCAAGTGCAAGGCCCCAAGTTTGATCCCTGGTACCCCCCCAAATAAATAAATAAAAGAATATATTGGGCCAAGCACACATTAAGTGCAATCCAGCCAAGTTCAACAGAATACATTCAATCCAAAACCTCATCTTTATTACATTTTCCATTTACTTAATGCTAAAGCTAGTAATTTAGAGTCCTTGACATTAACTGAAAACTAGATGTATTTCCTTTCCTGATAATCGTTTCAAACATTGTAATAAAATAAAGATAATGGAACCAAATTTACAATGCTATAATTTTTAATGTCAATGGTTGTGTTTCTGTGCATACTGTTTTGCCAACTACAACACAAGATGCTTGTAAGTGTATTTTAAGTAATTCTGTCATGAGTACAGTGATTAGTCAACATATGTAGAATTCCATAAACAAATTCTCACACTGATATCTTCTATTTCAATTTCCTTGCTGAAAATCCTGTGTTCATCAATTTAGCATCACAAAATGTTTAGCACTAGAAACAGTATTAATATGAATATGCAGTACTGCCTCTTTAAAGTTCAGTTAAAATCTTGCCTCCTCCTTTCCTAGACTGCCTTGTGGTACACGGTCCCTTCATTTCCTTGTCTTCAACTTTGGAAGCATATGGACGACACTGAACTTGGCAGGAGGGTTTTTGGAAGTTCATCATCACTGAGTGATATGAATCAATTACAATAAATTATGATGAAAATGCTTTCAGAGATTTAACATTTGAGTGGGGCATGGTGTTGCACACCTATAATCCCAGCCACTTAGGGGGCTGAAGCAAAGGATCACAAGCTCAAGGCCAGCCTGGGCAATGTAGTAAGACCTTGTCTCAAAAATAAAAATAGAGGCCAGGTGTGGTTGTGTATGCCTGCAATCCTACCACCCAGGAGTCTATGGCAGGAGGATCACAGCAAGTTTAAGGCCAGTCATTGCTACATAGTGAGTTCCAGGCTAGCTTGTACTACATAGTGAAACCCTGGCTCAAAAAAACCAACCAAACAAGCAAACAAATGAATAAATAAAAATAAAAAGGGCCAGGAATGTAGTTCAGTCTAACATCACTCCCTAGCATGGGCAAAGTCCTAAGTTCAATCCCCAGTACCACACACACACACACACACACACACAAAATTACCTTTGTTGTACATCTTCTAATTTTCACATTTCTCAGATTATCACAGTAATAATCATAATTGCTAAACTTTATTAAGAATTTATTAATAAGCTAGGTACTTTTCTAAGTGTTTTATTTGTGTAACTAAATCTTTATACTACCCTAAGGAAGGTAACATCTCCCCCATTTTACAGATCAGAATATAGAGGCACAGAAATAATAAATACTTTATCCATGGTCACCCACTTTATAACTGGCAGAGCCATAATCCAAACTCAGACAATCTGAACTCCAGAGCCAAACATCTAACAACTGTGCTATCTCATTCACGTAACTAATATGTCTAGTTCTAAGAAAATCAATAAAAAGTTATATATAAAAAGATACATGATTTTAAAATGTATTTGACAAAGTTTGACAAAATAATGCTTAAATATATGACATCACTTCCATTTTCCAACTCAGCAAAACAGAAAAATAATTCTCAAAAGCTTCCTAAGCATGACTCTTTGGAAGTTTTTAAAGTACTAGGGCCGGGGATTTAGCTCAGTGTTTCCGCCGCCTGCCTCCCAAGTGCAAGGACCTAAGTTTGATCCCCGGTACAAAAAAAAAAAAAAAAAAAGTACCACTTAGCAGGTTAAAAAAAAAAACAACAAAAACTCACTGGCTGGACTGAAAATCCTTTTCATTCACAACTGCACAGTTGGTTAAAGATAATTCATCTGTAGGACATCTTGCAGCTTGCATACTCTGTAAAAATCAATGATGAAGAAAATAAAATTAAGTCATGTTTTATGCCTTCACATGTTCCCACTAGCTTGAACCACCAGTAGTAAGTACATGAATAACTTTCCCATCAGAGGGCTTGTATCACTGTTACATAAACAGATTGAATCACTTTTATCAGTCTTTTTACTAATAAAATTGATAAAAAGACACCAAACGAGGGCAGGGGATTTAGCTCAGTGGTTCCGGCACCTGCCTGGCAAGTGCAAGGACCTGAGTTCAATACCTGGTACCAAAAAAAAAAAGACACCAAATGAAACAGTCATGCATGTAGTGGTTCAATCTGACCAGCAGCAAGACATGCGAATTACAGCCCTATTGTGAAATGTTAAACAGTATTTATGCTTTCTTGTTCTCTATTCTTCATCATTACAAATGCTATAATAAACATCTACTGTTTTGACTTAGTATCATTTCTCTATGGTAGCAGCAAACCCTCTATCATTTCATGTGAGTTTGTGGGCCTGCCAAACACAAAACATATGTAGCCATGTATACTCCTTTTCCACCCATATGTACAACTGTCACGAGAAAAGCACTGTTCATTGTCACACTACATGGAGGAAAACTTTGTACTCTAGGACAGTAAAACTGTCACATAATAGAAAGCAAAGGTGAGAGAGACATGGATAAACTAATAAATACAAAGAAACCTAGACCCAACAACCAAGTAAAAAATAATTGAGACCAGTCCAGAATATGGTTATGAGCCAATAAATTCTTTTTGGGTCAACTTTTTTTGGAATTGGTTTTCAGTCTTTTCCAAAGAATGCTGACTGATAAAAATGCAATGAAGTAAATTCAATAAATTTGATATAAGTGGATTATGGAAAAGCTTCTTTTTATAAGAGATCCCTAGGGCTATGAGCCATATCTTCTAAAGATTAAGAAAAAACTTACTCCGATTATCTCTAAACAGCCGGACGTGGTGGCACACTCCTTAATCCCAGCACACAGGAGGCTGAGGCAGGAGAATTGCTGTAAATTTGAGACCAGCCTGGGCTACATAGTGAGTTCTAGGTCAGTCTCAACTACATAATGAGACCCTGTCTCAAAAAAAAAAAAAAAAAAACCCAAACATCTCTAACAAAAATAATTACAAGGTAAGGTGGGCCTGGTGGCACAATCCTATAATTCTGTGAGATATTGAGAAATGATATATGCAATGAAAAGGATATATTCTCAACTCTAAGTAAAAACAATGTGCTTTATGGGAAAACTATAATGACTACTTACTGGAACTTTTTTGAAAAAAGAGTAAGATTAAAAAGATAGTACCTGCCTGCTTCAAAGGTAAACTGTTTCAAATAAGAAATAAGATATATGTGCAAAGGACTTTGGGATGTCACTGAGGTTGATTTTATCTAATTTATTTATTGTTTTATCTAATTTACTTTACAATATAGACTCTTTCCTATAATCCATAAGGAGATAAGAAGTAGCCTTAAAATCATTTAAAAAAATCATAGAGGGATTCATGTTACTGTAAGGTTAAGTACTTAAAGGATTTGTTAAACATAAATGAGTTACACAATATTTTAAAATAAGATTAGTGTTCCAAACTTGCTAAATATTTAGCAAGGCTGTAAATAGTATGAAACTAACATATTTAAAAAACTCTATTCCTATAAAATAAATTTTTTTCAGTACCAGAGATCGAATTCAGGACCTTGTGCTTTTGAGGCAGATGCGGCACCACTGAACTAAATCCCTGGCCCATAAAAATGTTTTTTATCAGAAGTTTTTTTGCCATTTCTAGCAATCAAATCTGGAGCCTGAAGTATGCTGGGCAAGTACTCTACCACTAAGCTAAATTCCCAAGCCCCAAATATTTTTTAAAGGAAAAAATACATCATTCCAATGAACAGAGCATTTGAAAATTGGCTATTTGGAAACATTTCCATTGCTAAATGATTCTGCTACTGAAAACTACCCAAAAAAACTCATGTCTGCATGCTTTAAAAATTAGAAGCAGAGTATTTTAATATTAAAAAAAATCCAAATAAAAACTTTCAGTTAATTGTTAATCTACTAGCATTATAAAATTATAACACATTTTAGTTAATTTGCAAGAAAGATTAGTAAATAGGTGGAAATGTAGACAGCCACATTTCAATAAAACATTTCCAGAACTGGTGATTAAGTTTGAAGGGGAAAAAAAGAAATGTCATGTTTTCTAAAGTGTAGCCATATACCCCTTTTTGATCAGGGGTTTAACTGCCATTAAAATCAAGTGTCAAAATAAACAGCCCTGTGAAAAGATACATGACAAAATATTTAACACCTTAAAGAATAATGATGCATTACTTTATGTACTATTGCATTATGAGACTATTGTACATGTGATTTGTAATTCATCCTTTTTTGTATGTTTTACTATATATATAAATGTAGTACTACATCAACTTTCAAATAAATATGATTATACACTGGGGTAAACATTTACTTATGGAATTCATGATAAAATGTTTAGAAATCACTAATTTAGCATATGACATGAAAAGAGTCAAGGTCACAACCCTGCTCTCTGAGACAGCATTTTGCAAATGGTCACATTTGACCAACCATTTGACAAAAATGTACCAAACATTTCTTATTCTCCCACCTTCCCAGAGTCTCTTCAAATTTCTTCCTTATATATTCTTCCCTCTTAATCCTGGGCCACTTAATTGTCTAATCCCTTTTTATTCCACAATTCTTAGCTTAGACATTACTTTTTCTAGGCTTTCCTATACACCTGCTACCAACTAAAATGATAAAATATACTTCTAATGGAAAAACTAAATATCCTTTTATTGTCTGTCTACATGTTTGCACTGAATATAAAACAATAAAAACCTCTCTAAGACTGAGACAATGTTCTACTCTTATCAATAGTTTTCAGGGGTAGCACTGGGCCTGGGACATGGTGAGTATTCAATAAACATTTGTTGAATACATAAACTTATAGACCAATACAACTCTATCTCAACTGCAGGATAAACAATCTGAAGAACATGTACACAAAGCACTGATCACTTTATGGTTATTTATGAAGTAATACAATTTAAGTAAAATGACCTAATACTTCAAAATTACACAGAACTGATAAAGCAATAAAAAGTTTACAGAATGCTAAGTTAACATGCTCATTTGTAAAACTGTCAGAGTCCTTTAACAAAGTTCAACAACAAAAAAAGACCACTAGAAGTCATCTGGCTGGCCAACTAAAACAGATGCTGTGAGCACAAGGCCTCCCTATTCGAATCTAGGAGCATCTGTGTTTTTATGGGAAGCCAAGAAGGGTATCTCATTTTTTTTCAACAAAGTTTCAGTCCCTATAAATAGTAGCTGTATATTTACCACAGTGATGGCAAAGGAAAATTCTACAACTTTTCTAACATTGACCTTGACTCTAGGAAACAGTAAGAGCCAACAACTATAGTCATTCAGCTATTTTATTTTTTTAATGTTTTTATCTTTATTAAATGTATTGGTACATTTTAGGTATACAGTATAGTTACATTCATCATTGGGATCTTGTACCTTTACATGACTTATCTTGGTTATTTTTCCCTATTCCCAAGCCCTCCCCTTCAACCCCTCCACCCTTCCGTTTATAAAGCAGTGTTTCCATGTTTTTCCTTTTCACATATTTTTCCCTTTTTACCTCTACCCTTCCCACTTCCTCTACTTTTAGACCTTTTCTTCCTATTATACAATATCAATTATACATTTTGATCTTTATTTACAGTTTTTCACACCAGAGAAACTATTCAGCATTTACACGTGTGACTTATTAATTTCACCTGAGTATGGCCTCAATGTGCATCCACTTAGGTATGAGTACCTCTAGTTTCTCATTCTTTATGGCTGAGTAGTACTCCATTTTTAATGAAAAACACACACACATCATTTTTACCTAGTCTCCAGCTGATGGGCAATTGGGCTGTTTCCAAATTTTAGCTATTACAAACTGTGCCGCTATAAACATGGGTGAGCATATATTGCTGTGGTATGATTCTTTTAATTCTTTTGGGAAGATACCCACGCAGGAATAGCTGAGTCAAATAGGACTTCTAGTCCTAGTTGTTTGAGGTATTTCCCTATTGATTTCCACAGTGGTTGCACCAATCTATACTCCCACCAACAATGATATCCCCACAACCTCACCAGCATTTGTTGGTTGATTTGATAGCAGCTGTTCTTACTGGGGTAAGATGGAATCTGTGTTATTTTCATCTGCAACTTTTTTTTTTTTTTTTTATTTGAGACAGGGTCTCACTATGTAGTTGAGACTGCTCTGGAACTCACTGTGTAGCCCAGGCTGGTCTCAAACATGCAGCGAACCTCCTGCCTCAGCCTCCCTAGTGCTGGGATTACAGGCGTGCGCCACCACGCTCAGCTTGATCTGCAACTCTTGAATGACCAATGATGTCGAACATTTTTTCATATGTTTATTCGCTGCTTTTACTTCTTTATCTGAGAAATGTCTCTTTATTTCAGATGCCCATTTTTGAATTGGGTCTTTATATCTGAGGGGTCTGATTTCTTTGAGTTCTTCATATATTCTAGATAGTAGACCTTTGTCTGAGGAACAGCTGGTAAAAATTTTTTCCCACATTGTGGGTTGTCTCTTAGCTCTGCTTGTGATTTCTCTGGCAGTGCAGAAACATTTTAAAAAGATGAGATCCCAATTGTTGATTCTTTGTGCTAGTTCCTGTGCTACTGAGGATTTGTTCATAAAGTCTTTTCCTATGCCACTATCTATCTTCAAGAGTTCTACCTAACTTATTGTCCAGTAAGTTTAGTGTTTGTGTTTTAATATTTAGATCATTAATCCACTTGGATTTTAGTTTAGGGCATGGTGAAAGATACAGATCTAGTTTTAATCTTTGACAAGCTGAAATTCAGTTTTTCCAACACCATTTATTAAAGAGGCTATCTTTCCTCCAATGAGGACACTTGGCTCCTTTGTCAAAGAT